GGGCGCTGCTGCGCGTGCCTCCTCAGGCCCATGTGTGGCGGCTGGGGCAAGCTTTGCTGGGGTGCTGGCATGCTCGTGGCATATGGCGTCATGCAGCGAGCGGAGCAGGGGTGGCGGGACAGCTGAGCAGAGTGCGTGCCACGAGCCGGCGGCACTCTTGCGCCGTGCAGCAGCAAGCTGACCCACGCTCCTCCCCACCCGGCGTCCCTGCCAGGAGGAGGACGAGAAGAAGAAGGCCGAGGAGAAGCCCGCCGCCGGCAAGGCCGACGAGGAGGAGGACGAGTACGACGACGAGGACGAGGCCGACAAGAAGGACAAGAAGGCGCCCGAGGAGAAGCTGGACGCTGACGAGGACGCCGACAAGGAGGAGGACGAGGAGGAGGACGAGAAGGACGAGCTCTGAGGGGCCGCCGCGGCGGCTGCAGTGGCCGCAGCCGGCAACAGCCCGGTGTGCGAGCAGGCAGGGGCGGGGCTTGGCGGCCCGGGAAGGGAGCCTGCCCCGGGGGTGGTGGTCTTGGAGTAGGGGCTTTGGCCTCCAGAGGGCTGCGCTGCTAATGTGTTCCGCGGCCCATCGGCCGGGTGCCCGCGTGCGCGCCCATGGCTGCACCCGCCGTCCGCGCGTGTGTAGCGCGCAGGCGGAGTGGGGGCATTGTGATTGCACAGACGAAACAGAGCCTGTGGGGTGCGCATGTCATAGTGTGTCTAGGAGTAACCTGCATGCTTGGTATGCCCCAAACAGATGCATCTAGAGGCTTCTACCTGGCAAGGGGGGGGGCGGCTGAAGGCAGCGCTGCTTGCACAGTATCAAGCTGGCAGCTCGTGGCCCATAAAACGCCAAGGGTCAGCACATTGTAGTATCAGCAGAGGGGGGCACAGCGTCAAGCGACAACACATGTCTCAGTGGCGTGACAACCACCACGACAAGTATGATGAGCACCGCCAGGACGTGTTCTCATTACAACAGGCCTGTACAGTTCAGGACCCTGGTATGATCGGCACAAATCGCCCAAATCGGTCACATCAAGGTCCTGCACACTACTGTACATAGGCGCAGACCAACTCGTCATCCTGGCGGCAGCTACGCCCGCATGAAGCGGCTGCCGCAGATAATCAGATGCATGTTATCGTAGTTCTTGTTGTTACTTACTTCTCTCTCCTCATGAGCTGGCGCCTGTGTTCGAAAATGGTCCACCTGACGCATGGCCACTTCGGGTTACGCGCGGGTGATTTGACGCCTTGCCTGGTTCGTAGGTTGAGTTCAGGCGTGTCCGCACGACGTCTTCATTACCATCGCGCTAGCTCCCTGCACAGCTGCTTCCGGACGGACAGAGTGTTCTTTGAAGCAAAAAGCACCACACAAGGGCTTATCGTTTGTAGCCGCGGGCTCAACACAACAATCCAACCACGTCAACAGGCAATTCACTCGGGACTCCGCCTCGACCCTACCCAGCCGACTGCCGCTTCCCTGCGCACGTCGCCGCCACCAGCACCGATGCACGCTCCGTCAATGAGAAGCCAGCGCGGCTCGGCGCAGCAGCGCCCTGTGAGCGCCAGCAGCGGCCTCCCGCCGAGGCGCGTGCGTGTCGCAGCTCGAGGTGAGCGAGCGTCGAGCGAGGCGCCCTCATCTGCTGGCCGCTTGGGCAACTGGGCCGCACGCGCCTGCACGAGGCACCGTCCACCACCCCCCACCTCCCAGCCCTGTCCGGAGCCATCAGCCACGCCTTGCCATCTCCCTCGTTCATAACCACACACACACACCCTACACCACCGCCCAACGCGCAGCCGCAGACGCCAAGCTCACGGCCCCGAGCAGCCTGCCGCAGCCGGAGCAGCAGCTGCCCCCCCAGGCCGCAGAGGAGGGCGGCCGCTGCCCCTTCCTCGCCGCGCTCCCGTCGCCCCCGCCGGCCCAGACCCCCTGGTACAAGCGGCTCGGGCAGCTCTTCACGCCGGCAGAGTACAGCCGCGAGGCGCTGGGCCCCCACACAGTCGTCGAATCGCCGGCTCAGCTGGGGCTGCCCAACCAATACATCATGGGGCGCGCCGAGTTCGTCAAGGCGGTGTTTTCGGGGGAGGTGGAGGGCGGCATCACCACCACCGCGCCGGCGGGCCTCGTCAGCAGCCGTGAGCGGCGCGGGCATGCGGGCGGGCGCAGCTGTGCAGCCGCAGGGATGCAGGACGCGCAGTGGGCTGGGCCGGGCTGCGTGCAAGGGTGCCTCGGGGCCCGCCTTGGTCCGCCCTTTGGCCTCGGCCCCACATTCGGTTGCAGACCCTCCCCCTCGTCCCTTTCCCCCTGCGGCGCGTCGCACCACATCACATGTATCACATCATGCCGCATCCCTCCCCGCAGGCCAGCTGCTGGGCAGCGAGAACATGCTCATGGTCCCTGAGCCGCGCCACAGCTACCTGCGCAAGCTGGTTATGCCGGCCTTCACCAACGAGGCTATAGAGAAGCTCATCCCCCGCATGGAGGCCGTGCTGCGGAAGCACCTCGACAGCTGGGCCGGTGGGCGGGCGCTAGGCGCCGCTCGGCGCGCGTTCAGGATTTCCAGAGGGGCTGAGGGCGTGGTCCGAATGCTTTTCAGGGCGGGGCGGTTGCACAGCCCCACGATTGCATTTTTGGATAGGTTGTAAGGCCTGACCGCCTTCTCCACGTGGGTGGAGTCACGGTTGTGACTGCCTGACCACCCCCCCCCCCTGTGTGACCACCCTCCCGAAAACGGCCAACCTCTCGCGCCCCCGCCGCGCAGACGCGAGTGGCACCATTAAGGCCCACGACATGCTGCGCAAGATGACGTTTGAGTTCATCATCGCGGTCGTCATGGGGCGGGACTACCCGCAGGACACCATCACGCGCCTTGCGGAGAACTACGCCGCATGGACCAAGGTGGGGGGCCGGCACGCGCTGGCTGCCCGGTCCACCCAGCCCCCGCTCACTGGCCCCGCTCGGTTGCCGGGCTGGCGCTGCGCGGATCAGCCTCTCCCCCGTCCGGCGCTGGGGCTTGGCGCCGCTCGGTCGCCTCTCGTTCGCCCAAATCGTCCGCATCGCCAAACCTCTGCCTTATCGCACCCACCCACACACAAACACACACACACACACACACACACACACACACTCCCGTCCCTCCCACAGGGTCTGCTGGCCTGGCCGTTCATCGACCTGCCGTTCACGCCATTCGGCAAGGCCCTGCGCGCGCGCCAAGAGCTGCTGGACTTCTTCCAGGTGGGGCTGCCTGCTGCTACTGATGCCCTTGAGCCGTGCCGCGCGCAGCCGTCTGCGCGCCTCGACCGTTGGCCGTCCTCGCTCCCTCATTCATAATCCCTGGACGATGTCGGGGCGAGCGGTGACCGCCAGGGCTGGTCGCAAAATCAGGCCTCCGCTTGACTCTCAATTTCATCATCGCGCACGCCAGGCGAGACGCAGCCCGCCCTTTTATGCACCCCCTCGCTAGACTGCTCACCCCTCTCATCAAAGCCCCGCGCCTCATCCCCACCTCGTCTCACTCGAACAGGGTGCCGTGGTTGAGGCGCGCGCTGACCTGGCGGCAGGGCGGCCGCTGCCGGGCATCCTGGGCAGCTTGGTGGCCGCCGTTGACGAGGACGGCAACAGGTGCGCGCCTCACGAAATTTGGATGTTGGCATCGGGGCGTTGCCTGGTTATAAAACCCCTTGACCCGCGCCTGGCCGGCCCCCGTGCACCATTCGTGCGCGCGGCGCCCCGCGGCGGCGGCGCAGCCTCCTGCCGCCCGCCCGCTGCGTTTGCGCGCCGCCAACTCGACGCTCATACGCGCCCACCC